GAATTTCCTTCTCCTCTGCCTTGAGGTGGTGGACCATTGCCTCTAGAGTGATCCCTGTCATGTCGGCGTGGAACCAGGCGAAACAGTCTTGGTTTTGTTTGAGGAATTCTATCAGCTTCTCCCTTGTCTCGGGCCCGAGGCAGGAACCTATGTGTGTCTTTCTGTTGGGGTCGTCCGGATGTCTCTGTACTTCATCCAACTTTTCCATAGATGGTTGATCCAGCTCGGTCGGAAGGGTTGGATGAGGTTGTAATTGCTATGAAGCGTTACCCTTGCCCTTGAAAGCGTTCTTGTAACAATCTCTAAAAGCTTTCGAGTCGCCTTTAATTTCTCGTACTCCCCATTTAGTAGGAAACCTGGTCGTTTGGTGGAAAGTGGATGGGACCGCTTGCATGTCGTGGATCCAGGGTCGACCCAAGATAACATTGTATGGTGAAGGATAGTCGATCACTAGAAAAAAGGTCTATTTGTTTACTCCGCTGGCATAGATAGGAAGGACGATATCTCTGATGGTGTACTTCTACTCAGAACTGAACCCAACCAGTAGGGTCGGCCTTCTGTTGATGTTTGCTTCTTCTAGACCCATAGTCTTTTCTGCTTCAAGGAACAGAATGTTTGCTGATGATCCCCCATCTATGAATACCCTCTTGACCAGAATGTTGGCGATCTAAAGGGAGACGACTAAAGCATCGTGGTGAGAGGTTGCCAGGGTGACTGGCTCGTTGTCTTTCAACTGAATTATCTGGTGGGAATGTGACTAAGAGGACGGATGGATAGATTGTATTTCATGGTGGCTATTGGCTCTGGCGTAGCGTTTGGCTGAACTTACCCCACTGATCTCTAACCCTCCTAAGATGATATTGCAGAATCCTTTTGGCATAGGTTCCCGCGGAGATGGAGAATTTTCTTTCGTGCTTTTTTGGCTAATGGTACTCTTCCCTTTATCTGTCAACAGATCTCGGAGATATCCTCTCTTCAATAGTATGGCGACCTCCAACCGTAGGGCAATACAGTCTAGGGTGTTATGTCCATGGTCGCCATGGAACTCGCACCACTTGGTCGTGTCTCTCCTTGCTTCGTCATTTATCTTGCCTGGCCACTTAAAACTAGATCTCATTCCTTTCATGATCGCTACCACATGGGCTGGTTCAACGTTGAGGTTGTACTCTGGGATTTTGTATCGGGTCGATCCAGTTGGTCTATTGTCGGTTCTAAGTGGCTGGCAGTCATATGGTTTTCTTACTCTGTTCTGGTTACGAGGAGGGGGCTGGTGACGAGGATCAATCGATCTAAATTATGGCCTTCTATCATTCCGCCTTGGGTCATACCTGGCGTGTACTGCCTGATTCATCTCATCTTCTTCCCACCTTATCTAAATCACTGTTCTGGCCAATGCGTCTTCCATTGTGGTGTAGCTAAGCTTTGTCATCTCTTTGTATAACTCTCTATCCGAGAGGAGACCTTTCCTGAAGGCATCCACGGCTGTCTCGAGGTTACAATAAGGGATGAAAATTTTCTCTTTGTTGAATCTGTTGACATACTCTCTCAGTGGCTCCCTCATTCTCTGGTATACTCTGTATAGATCAGTCGATAGTTTCTCGGGTTTTTTGCTGTTGGCGAATTACTCCACGAAGGTATCGGTAAGCTATGCGAATGAGTCGATGGAACTGTTCGGGAGATTGGTGTACCACTGAACTGTTGGACCAGATAAGCTTGAACCAAAACTCTAACACATGCAGGCTTCCCTCGGCCCTTGGGGTATCGACATAGTGGACATTCGCTGCTTGTACGAGGCTATGTGATCATCTGGGTCGGTTGTGCCGTCATAGGGCTTCATGCCAGGGATAGCAAATTTATGGGGCATGTCGGCTAGGGAGATCGCATCTACAAAAGGAGAATCGGCATAGCAGTGGGGCCTGCTCTTTTTGGTGGGGATCGGCATTCCTGGTATGCACCTTATCACTGCCTCTACATCAGCCAGTCTCTTGGCCAGAATCTATTCCATGGGAGAGGGTGATACCACTAGGTCATCCCGTTTGACTTGGTCGGCCATTGCATTCGGCAAATTTTGTTGAGTCATTCCGCGTGGTGTAGCCTGGTGGATCATTCCTTCATGTATCATCTGGTAGCTTGGATCACCGTTCATTCCCTCCAGTTGGATGACTCCCATTGTAACTGATCGAGTGTTTCGCCCTACATGAATAGTTAGGGGGGTTGTTTGGTACTTGCTCGGTCCGTCAAGATGGTTTGGTTTGGGTGGCCGTTTGACCTGTAAGGGTGAGCTGAGCTGAATGAGTTTTGTGTAGGGATGGTTGACTGGAGGTGAGGTGGGATGGCTAGGATGGGTGGTTCTTGTTGGAGTGGGTTTTCTGTCACTGGACACCTTGATCTTGTGATTGAGGTGGTTCGGCCAAGCGGGGTTCTGTTGGCAGATCTTTTTCTCCATGGGTCAGGACTGAATCGTCGACCACCGACAAACATAGTTGATGCGACCTTTTATCTGAGGCCACAGGTCTGGGCTCTGGGGTTTGGAGAGGTTGCATAGATAGAACCGAGGTGCGAAATCGATTGAGTGGTACCTGAGAAGGCAGAAGCTCAAGGTCATAAAACTGACTTACCTTCTCTTTCATAGACTGGTTTTCGACCTGATGGATGCGTTTTCGGTCCGGATGGCAGTGTTCTCAGCTTTCAGTGCAGCCACTTTATCTAAGTTCTGCTGCATAAGGGCAGTCAGAGCCTCCAGTTTAGCTTCAAGGCCGGGGTTAGCATTGTCAGAATTGTTAACCATGGAAACTTCCTTTACGTAGCAGGGTTTGTTGAACCGAATGATTGCTAGAGGCCCCACGGTGGGCGCCAAACTGTAGGCGTAAAAATCTACCTATACAGAAAGATGAACTAATCCTATGAGGTTGAGGCCACTAGCGATCTATTGTACCTGCACACGTAGAGAAGCAAACGTGAAGTGACAAAAAACACCGGGATAGTGTTTGCCGTAGGCACTCCAACGCTCAAGTCAGCAAGGCTGAAAGAGATTGATTTAGTGAGGGCTAGGGAGTAGAGAGGTTACCATAAGTCTAGTCGGGCACTACGACTACGACTGTAATGTGAAGTTCTCAAGTTAGAACTTCGGGGTCTGAAGGTGTAGTGTAATCTGCCTTGTGAAAGGGATGGCCTCTGTTTAAATAATGACTGTCTGGTCTCCCAATCTTGGTGGGATTGGGAGTTCTCGTAGCAATTCGTTTCCTCCCGGGATATATCCTTTGATCCCTTTATCCTGGCGTGAAAGAGAGTCCAAGTATGACTCTGACGTGGACCTTGGAGGAATTGGGATAGTAGTGGACTGCTTTGTTAGTGCTTGAGTAGGAATGTGATTCGTAGGAGACCGTGGGCTCTGAACTTGTCTGTGGGCCCAGGAGATGTACTAGGATTGGGAGGCTTGGATCCAGATGGTTTGGGCCAACTGTACTTCGTACCGCATGGGCCTCGTCTGGGGAATCAGGCTGCATTGGGACGGGGCCTAGGTTTTCCTCTTTGTCAGAAGTGTTATACTATTTGGGCCGAGGACAATTTGTGGCCCTAACACAGACCAACGCCCAAAAATTTCACCCAACAAGCAAGCTTTCCATTATTTAATTAACCGACTCTTCTTTCCCTTCTCAAAGCAAATACAACTAACAAAACTTCCAAGCATTTTTGAGATAACAGAACTCAACTCAACCGAAACATGCAAAATCCAAAAAAAGAAAGTTGTCATCGATTTCCAGATCACACTAAGCATTTTTTACAGTGGAAATACCTTTACAAAGCTTAAGCGAGGGAGAAAGGCGTCGTTGTCGTCAATTTCGAGCAAGGGAGGCGTCGTCATCGTTGATTTCTAACGAGGGAGAGAGGCGTTGTTGTCGTCGAGCAAGGGAGGTGTCGTTGTTGTCGATTTCCAGCGAGGGAGGTGTTGTCATCGTCGATTTCCAGTGAGGGAGGGAGAAGTCATCATCGTCGAGCAAGGGAGGTGTCATCATCGTCATCGTCATCGTCGATTGAGATTGAGACAGTGGTTGCAATTTCAAACTTGAGAGAGTGGAGTTGATTGAGATGGTGTTGCAATTTTTGAGAGGGCTCAAGTGGTTGCAATGTCAAGAGTGGTTGTGTGTGATTGCCTTTGGTGTTTTGCATAGAAAAACTTAAAAAGTATAGAGTTAGGGTTTTTTTTCATTTGAAACAGTGAACCAGTTTACCTGGTGGGCTGATTGGACTAGGCGGGTGGCACTGTTCATTCGGTTCAATGGCGGGTTAACATGATTTTTTTATTATAACCGGGTTTTATATTGGCTCGGATCGGACATAAGACCGGGTCCCAGTCGAACCGATTTGTTAGGGTCTCACATTGAAAGGGAAAAGGGTGGGCATATGGGTTATATAGGCATGGGTTATATAGGCTTGGGCACCCTCCCTTAGCAAGCCAGTTTTTTTTTGCAAGGAGAGTTCTACCCAAGCCCATGAAAAAACCCATGGCCCAGCCCAAATTGTTGAGTAATTAGAGTGGGTTCCCATCAATTAGTATCAGAGCATGATCGCGCCTATGTGGCAACGCACGCATGGCAGGCTGACCCGCGGCATGCTGACCTTGGGCCTGAGCTGCTACGCCGAGAAAGGGCATGGAGACCCGAGGGAAAAGGGATCCGCGTAGTCATCCAAGGGGTAAAGAGGCCGACAGGGGTAAAGAAGCCGACAGAGGTAAAGAGGCCTACGTGGACGTCAGTTACGGAAGCGTGATGGAATGTTAAGATCCCACATTGAAAGGGAAAAGGGTGGGCATGTGGGTTATATAGGCTTGGAAACCCTCCCTTGACAAGCCGATTTTCCAAGAAGAGTTATACCCAAGCCCATGAAAAACCCATGATCCAACCCAAATTGTTGAGTTATTGGAGTGGGTTCCCATCATGGTTGAACTGACCGGTCCGATCCGGGTTTTAAAACAGAGATTAACACGTAGTAAACTTGATTATATTACAGAAACAAAACTATCAGAATGCCACAATCTGTACATATTTTTGGTATTAAGCATGTACATCAGCTTGTAATTTCGGACTCAACTTCAGTGTCTTCTTCGCTAGGTTGCGGATATCTTCCCTACTTGATTCAACCGATATTCGTACAAGTTCCTTCGCCCCACCACTGGTTATGAAGTCTCTAGCATTGTCCTCTGCAAAGGGTAGTAGTTGATCAAGTTAACCATAATACAAGGTTTCCAGAAATTATATACGACATAATTAGAATTTAAACCAACCGTCTCTTCGAAGAGCGAGATCTGTCCCAAAACCTTTTTCTAGTTGATAAATTTTACATGAAACATTACCGGCTATGCTACGCATTAGCTAGTGCTCACATGTTACCATGAACTCATGATTAAGGAACCAAATAGATCAAGGACTAAGGAATTGGTGTGATTAAATCCTGACCATGACCAGGGAAAGAGGGGTCAAGCGCAAAAGCAACTTACCGTTTTGTGCTAAATGACAAAGGGCAAGCTCAACATGGCGCCGGGTTGAAGCTGAGTTGACATTAGAGTTGGAAATCAACCATTGGAGAGCACCATCGTCCATTAGAAGTGAACGCCCCTTTTTGTATCCTGCGATAACAGACATTCATCAGGATTTTGATGTGTAAAGATGATTAATAGCATACCTTATAAGAACAGGATAACAAGAGCAAACCATGAAAGATTCCTCGTGATTCACATTTTGCAAAGTTAGCCAATCCTCTAGCAATCTGTGCAATGACATCACCATTCCCACATTTCACCATTTCCAGAAGTGCTTTGATGGCTCCATCTTCTTTCAGCATGACGTGTAATTTTTCTATCACACAAAATAAATCTCACATCAATATACTTGATCTCCATTTGTTTTGGTGAAAGACAATCAGGAAAATCAGTTCATCGACCATATATTGATTCAGCATGTACCATTTTTAGATATTAGTGTTCAGAGTAAATAACTACATGACTTAATGAAAGATGTTCGACAAGGTAACTACGGAATCACTTTCAGCTTACCATTTCCGCAAAGATTAGCAAGTGCACCAGCTACCATTCTAAGAGTTTGTGGATCATCAGTTCTGGCTGCTGTCTTTGCTAGTAGCTGAGCACCTCCTCTGCTCATTATTAGGCCTTGGTTCATCTCTGAGAATATTTGAAAAAATATATATATTAATGAAACTTCAGTTTATTATATTGGTCATCACCATGAAAGGTACTACTGTTATTAATCTACAATATGGAGAAGCAAAGGAGAAGCTGATGCAGCGTTGGCTTTGCTATGATGAAGTGAAGAATTTGTATTGCTATGTCTAGTTCGCAAAAGCAATCAAAGTAGAAGGGGAAAAAAAATAAGGGATAGGTAATTATTATATGTTATAGGAAAGAAAAAAAAAAAAAAAAAAAAAGTCATGATTACCATTCATTGCCAAATTGGCAATTGCACCAGAAGCCACTCTAAGAATAGTTGTATTTTGGGATGATCGTAGCAGCAAAAGTAAAGCATCTAAACCACCTTCCTCCACTATTTTCTCTTGATTAATATCTGAAAGGAGAAAGAACCTTAACTGATGCCAATTGTTGAACCAAGAAGTACAGGAGGATAGAAGTGCAAATCGATAAACTATAACATTTCCATGCAGTTTCAAATGAAGCTAGAAGGAAGCAAAATTGCGAAAAAGAGTTGCAGATACACATGTTAAATAAAGAGGGAAATGGCCCCAATTTATTTACGTACTTCTTACAGGCAAGTAACCTACCTTCAGCAGCAAGATTGGCAACCACTTTCACAGCATGGATTTGCACATCTGGATCTTCAGATGTTAACAACTGTAATATCTTCGGAAGCCCAACTGCATTTGCAAAGCCAAAGAGCTTGTAAATTAATATATCTGTCAGTGAAGTCAAGGAAAAAAAAGGTTCATTATGTATAATATATAACATAGAACTTGCCTTCGTCACATATCTTTGCAATCGTGGCCCTTTGACCAGATTGCATATCCCTCGATGGATTTGACCTGTGTAAGCCAATTGGGGTCACAGCTCCCGAAGATCCTTTACTGATGTAATCCTTTGCGTATGGTTTCTTGTCCTGTAAAATACTATAATGTAAGACCATGTCCGAATTAAACCCAATGCTAGGTAAGAAAATGCAAAGAAATTTCACCTCAAAATCATCTTCATTTTCTGGTGCAGTCTTCTTTAGTTTGACCAGCTCATATTCCAAAGCCTTCCTCTGCTTCTCTTCAACTAGAAGTCTTTGCCTTGCACCTTGGATCTCTTCACTCAGTTTTTCCTTCATAATTCCAATTTTTAAAAAAACAAATAGATCATTAATTATTCAAGTTGACAGAAAGTGGTAGTTCACACGACTATAAGCCAAACAGAATAAATTTGCGAATCGAAGAAAAAACTTTTAACCAAGTCCAGATGGTTTATATGTCAAGCATACCTTCTCTTCAAGTAAATTTTTACATTCTGATTTCAAGGATTGAAGCTCATTAACAGTAGATTCATGCAGCTGATACATTTCCGGTAACTTCACCCGAAGTTCATCGATCTCATTCTGCCCCTGGGGTTCAACAGATAATGAAATTTATAGTTAAATTAATGAGTCTGCAGTATAAGTGAATTGATTCCACGAGTCAGAAATTTGCGAGCTCTACAAACGATGAAATAAAGACAAGAAGAGTGAATATTATAACTGCTGTTCTCACAGCAAAGGCATTGATGAGACAGGAGCTAATCTAAGAATTCAAATATCATGTTTTACTCATCCAAATATAGGTCAAGTGATTAAGTTAACCTGCTCTGAGTTCTGATAATCATTCAGAAGCTTCTTTGTCAGGTCCAACTCTTCTTGTGCCCCTTCAAAACAGGCATGCTCATCCTCTAATTTCTTATTCAGCTCTGCTATTTTCTTCTCATACAACTGAGTAGTGTCGGCAAGTGCCTTCTGATATGTAGAATTTTCAACCTCATATTGCTGTTATAAGAGAAAACAAAATTTAGTCCACGCTGATGTTGCTGAAACTCGGCAAAATAAATAGGATCTCAGATATCAATTAAAAAAAAAAAAAAAAATGAATTGTCAATACACATGGTAGGAAGAGCAATATACATTATACCATCAAATTTTAATATGAAAATTTAACACACACAAATTTTAATCCTGCAGTTGACAATCATCAATGAAGATGAGCCAAGAATAGTTATGTCCTCAAATAAAATATTTATCGAACTTATATATTTGGATATGTACAACGTTAAATATGTGTTTAAGTCAAAGTGCTGAGCAATCAATTTGTAATTTAAATACCTTAATCGACTTTTGGTGATCATCCATCCCCTTCTTCATTATATTGAGCTGTTCCCCGGTACTTTCAGACCGGGCACACTCAATGTCCAGCTGCCTAATTAGTTCTGCTGTTTTCTTCTCATACATCTTAATTGTCTTCTCATGATCATTCACCAGCTTCTTCATTACATCAAGATGTTCTTCAGCACTTTCAGAGCGGGCACACTCAATGTCTAGCTGCTTCATTAATTCTGATATTTTCTTCTCATACATCTGGGTGGTGTCAGCCAGTACTTTCTGATATGTAGAATTTTCAAGCTGGTGTTGCTACTAACAGAGAACAGCATAAAAAATTCATGTAGGTCAAAATTCTTTCATAAAATATATACAGGCACACACTAAATAAATAAAGTCTTTCACACATCAAGGAAGCAAAACATAAGTCTTTTCAAAGAAGAGAGTACCTTGCTATGTTTCAAACTTGTTTCTAGTTGTGAAACCTTATCATGCATCAAGTTGTTGTGATCTTTTTGACGGTTTAATTCACTTAAGAAGTCTTTCATCTCCAGATCTAGTTGAGCATTTTCCTTCTCCAGTAACTGAACAGAACAAGGGATTAGAGATGAAAGGATACCATTGAAAGAAACACTCAAATACAAAACTAATACCAAAATATATAATTTGAAAAAAGTGACAGGATTTTTTGAGAAATTGAGCAAAGCCCTGGGGGTAAAATAAAATTTGGTTGATGAGAGCACAACAATATTTGAGGAGAAAAAGCTACCTCACACCTTGAGGCTAGGTTTTTCCTTGCTTCATCATAACAGTCTTGACACTCCCTGCACTGCTTTTCATACTCATACTTGTCATTTTCTCTCAACTTCTGTTGCCTTTCAATTTCTGCAGTAAGATGTTCTACTTGAGTGACTAGGTTGTTTTTTTCTTTATCATAGGAATTGCGACACCCTCTAAGCTGTTTTTCTAATTCATTCTTGTCATTTTCCTGGACCTTCTGTTGCCTTTCAATTTCTGCAGTAAGCTGGTCTACTTGAGTCTCAAGTTTCCGGCATAAACTTTCATAATCATACTCTTCTTTAAGCTTTACCATGTTTACTATTTTCATTGCCTGAAAGAGTAAAATGTAATTAGTCTGCCTTGTTATAAATTCTGTCAAACAAGTACATAATTAGCATTAAAATCAGTGAACCACATTTTTTTCCATCCACAGTTTAGGCACAGGCTTAGAAACTACGAAACAAGACAGCTCCTAGATAAATTAATAAATAAACAAGAACCAGTTATAAAAGGGTCAGTTGTAAGAAAACCATAATTCCCTTTCAAACCACAAAAAAAAAAGAGTAACTAATTTATACACAAAAGAAAAACCATCCACAATGGGAATGCTGAGGACTGCAAAAATAATTGGAGAGAAGAACTTGGCTAGGCTCGACAAGTGACAGAAGCCAACTATGTAACAGTAAACATCCAGATGTTTTTTTTTTTTTAATATCCCTGTACATAATTACCTGCTCTCAGTTCTCTTATTCCTGCTACAGTTTGGTTCACTTCTATAGTCAAGACATATAAAATGTTACAGTTACAGTTGTTTTCCAAAGGAAAGCAACACATGCTTTCCAATAATAGTAACAACATGATGATGACAATGACAATGCTGGTGATAACAATTCTAATGCATGATTCACACTGATTCTTCTCATCATCAAAAGTCTATTCAATCCAAGAATAGATGTAAAAGGGAAAGATACAAAGAATTTAAGTAGGAAACATCTTAAGACCAAAAATAATAGAACCACAAATTGGATGCATGATTGTAAGTGGAAGATCGAAGCATAGTAAAAGTAATATCTGGAGTGGGTAAAAAGGTTTGTCTGTGACCAACCAAAAACATATTGAAAGCCGCCAACTAGCTTAGCTGGTGAAGTTTTTTAGCATCATATCTAGGATTTTTGGAGGACAGCTAGGTAGTATGTTACAAAATGCCAGCCCCTCCTCCCGCTTTATTGTTGTGTAGCACAGGCAATAGACCACCAAAAAAAGTACACCGACAAGAAAATTCTAAAAATAAACTTTTGAACTCTATTATTGAACTTACCCTTTGTCCAAACATTATAGTGCTTGTGGTCTCTGCATGATGACGTGCAGACGGGCCAATTGTTACTATCAGTGAAGTCCTTGCAGAACCTATTAAATTAATGATAATATTCAGTCAGATGGTTAAAAGAAAAGAAGTTCACATAAATAATACAACAATGTGATATACAGATAAAACACTAAATGTGGAAGGTTTACTTAAAAGATATGTAAACTATAAATGTAATTAGTATAAATAAAAGTCTTATTAAATGATTAAATAATATACCAAAGTAGAAAAATATATGCTCTCATACCATATGAACAACTTAATAAAAGAAACAAACCGAAATGTAAGGATTTTTTAGATGACCTCCAAAAGAATCCCGAAGCAATCTTGTCAACTTAGAATCCCTTGTAGGTATATGTGGACTGTTCTCAGCCAATGCATTTATACATTTTCCAAGGGACGTAAGAGAAAGATTAATGAACTTAGCCTCTTCAAGCAAGGCACCTTCGCTGCCTGTGACATGAGAAAATAGTCATGGAAGCTCTTCAAGGCTAATAAAATAAAAACAAGATTCCAATTGTAAAATTATATACTTTGAAACTGGTGTAACTAAACATAGGTATAGATATCAATATAGAAGTAGTAAAGAAATACCAGATTTGTCTATTCTTTCAGACCCTGCGAGATCTACAATCAGCAACTTGCTTTTTCTAACCATAGGTATGCTGCTACCTAGTAAATCAGTTCTTGTGTCTTGCCGTTGAGAAGTAATTTCATTTACATTTTCCTGGATAGATCTTCGAACATAAACCTATAAGACAAACAAAGGTTAGATATTTAAGAAGTTCAGATTTGTGTTGTGCTGAAAAAAAGAACGTAATGAATTACTCATTACAGATGCTTACCATTAGAATTGCATGGCTGCGTGAAGATTCAGTATTGAGCTTTGTGTTGGCTGCATGACGATTTGCTTCACCAACTTGCAGGAGCTCTAAAAAATGATCAAGATCTCGAACTTTAACTACTGTTGCACCAGGCAACGAGACTTCTCCGGTCTTGGAGTCTTCATAAATTGGGATATTAATCTTTGCTGGAGTAAACAAATCTTGTATGGATTCCATGTATAACTGGAGGAGAAATAAGAATTAATAGTGAAAGAGTGATAATCCATCAGGAAACAAAGATTACTAGCCATTTCATTGCATAAGCAATGGCCAACAAGATGATACCTGCACATATGAGACTTCAACACTATCAGAGGTAAGGGAAGTACAGGCAATAACGTCTTCTAAAGCTCTAACCATAATACCACGTTCAGATGCATCTTCTTTACCCAGTCTACCAACTGTGTAAGTTTTGCCAGTACCTGTTTGACCGTAGGCCATGACTGTCCCATTATATCCATCCAATACACTCTGCAAATGTCGTCAAAATTTCCCATAGACAATTAACATGCCATCTAAATCTGCTCAAAACTAATTTCTTGTGAACAATGAGAATGTAGAGTAAATGGTGGATTCAAATTGACCAATTTAAAATTAGAAAGATCTGTAAATTACATAAAAAAGAGAACACAAATGAAAAAATGATAAGAGAATTTGTAAATGTAAAACAAAACTTAGCACTGACAAAGACTTACTGGAAGCCAGGCACAACTTAGATTCTAAATCTAATCTATGATGAATACTTCAGCATTGAGATACCCAAAAAGTTGCATTTCGATCATCCTTATTGTTGCAATTCAAAACCTATTAGCAACTTACCTCAACTACAGGTTTTGCCACTACTTCATAGACACGCCTTTGAGAGGCAGTTTCAGTAAAAACTTCATCAAATCTGTAAGACTCGCTGCTCCAGTTGTTTTTCCTCAACTTCAATCGCTTCAGCTACATGAAAAAATACATTTATAAATAAGTTCAGTTAACCCGTACATCCCAACGGATGCTACAGGAAGAAGTTTAATAAAACACATTTGACTGACAGAGACAGAGAAAACTGTCATTTATAAGGATAACATATCAGCCAAACCAAAAATTTCCAGTTTTTCACCAACTGGAATTTTTTTTCTCTTTTCTTATGTAATTTCTTAATGTTGCAGATAAATCACCTCAGGCTGCAGCTCCACAAAATCAGCAAAATCAGCATCCAAGATCAGGTCCTCAGCATTTCTTGGTCGAATTCTGACAGCAACCCTTACCCTTCCAGAATCTGTGGTAAAGTAAAAAAAAAATAAACATCACAAATAGAAAATGGAATCTAACTTTTGCAACTCGCACATGAAAATAGTATTTAGATCAGTTTTTACAAAGAATTGAAGGTTTTTCAACCCACTATGGCCATCCGGTAACGATAACACCTATTTTCTTATGTACTGTGGCTTAGTGCTTGGTTCTTTTCAAACCAAAAAAGCTCCAAAAAAGCAAGGAAAATAATACAGAGAACACAAAAGCCAACAGCACCGTTTTACACTTAGGCCATGTTACACTAGAAATCACCCAAAATCAAATCCTAATATTCTAACCCACTTCCACGTTGCATTCTTCCAAGAAAATCACGAAACAAAAATGAACCCACACCTTCAAATAGCCACTTAAATTCACCAAAACAAAATTTGAACAAGTAAAACAAAAATTCCCTGAAATCCCAGTACTCTTAAAATGGCCCTAAAGCAAAACAAAAACAAACAAATGTAACCAAAAGCTAGAAACTTTACATCACCAAAAGTAAAAAGATTATAAGAAGTACGTGAAACCCCATTTCACCAAAATTCCAAAAAAAAAAAAAAAAGAAGAGAAACCACAACATAACATAAAAAACAAAACTTTCTATATAAAAAAAGGAGGGACAGAAAGAGCAACCTTCATCATTGTTGTTGTTGTTAGAAAGAGTACGAGAATTGGGAGTGACAGAACGTCTAGAAGAAGAGGTTCTTTCTTTAGACGAACGAGGAGGAGCAGAGTGTAGATTAGAAGGTCCATTGTTCAAGCTTTTGGACAAAGAATGCGAAGGAATGTGATTATGTTGAGGTTTTTCAGAAGCCGGTGCTCTCTGAGTTGCTCTCGGAGTAGCCATCGAAATTGAAATGGGGGAGAAAGAACATTAAGTGTTGGCGTTAGAAGAGAAAGTGTCAAAAGCCGTTGAAGAAGAGGAAGTTTGGAACATAAAGAAACATTAAAACTGAGAGTTGTTGAGGCCAGCACGATAGTCGATAAACACAAAAGAGAGAGATAAAATGGTTCCCGCGTTGTGTAGAGTTGTGTTGTCTGTTGTTTGTTGTTGTTGTCAATGGTTGTAACGTTGGGACGGCAATTAGAATCAGTTGTCGAGTTTATGATATGATATGCAATCAACTTTATTACATTATACGGAGTAAGACTCAAGGTTGTAAGATTTTTCTTTTTTTTTTTTTTTCTTTTTTTTCAAGTTTTGCAACTTTGTTTGATCATTATTGACTCGGTAAAGTTTCATAAAATCTGTTAAAAGATTGTGTTTGCTGTATTCTCTTTAGTTATATCGAAAGATCAAACTCGATTTGGCAATATAATATAAATGAAACCATAATTGGTGGCCTTATGATAAAAGAGTAAAGAATTAATGAGTCTCTTTTAATAGTAAAAAAATAAAAAGATGATCTAATATAATCTTTTAAATAGAAGGATCTAATATATTCTTTGAGTTCGAGTTTTTACGACTTCTAATAGAGATGCCTATTAGACCTCTCATTCGATTGATAGTTTTAAAGTTCTAGAGAATTAACACCCTCTCATAAAAAAACAAAAAATATATATATAATGGAAATGATTCTCATCCATCAGATTTCGCTGATCAAGATTTTGGAATAAATATACGGACTCTGAGTTGGGGGGGCTTAATCATAATAATTTCACCATTTTAATCAAAATAAATATACTGATGGGATGTATAATGTACTAAGTGCATGTCACATGCCACGCAATGCAACAAATGCACTGCCAATTATTGAATACGAAGCAACCATGCCGCATTGCTCTTAAAAAGGACTCATTTTCTTTTTTGGAAAATAATATAGTTACAAAAATGAGCACACCAAATTCATGTCATCTCATAATCTTGATCATCGATTAATTATGAGTTAATATTAATTAACGGTTGGGATTATGTCACGTCATTCAGTGCATAAATTCGGTGTACTCATTTCGATAACTATAGCATTACTCTTTTTTTTTTTTTTCTTTTGTGGGTTAAGGTTCCATCCCAATTTAAACAAATAGGGTCTTGAAATATTAGCTTGCTTCATAGAAAAGAGAAAACGAGGTATTCTCACATGAGGTTTAACGAAATTCCAAGTTGATACTTTTAGTTACATTTATTTTAGATTCTCATCCTTGAAGTAACGTCGTTTCCTTTATTTTAACATATTTTCAACTTTTTACTATAGTGCGGTGCACATAAACGGCACTTTCTTTGACAAAAGATGAGCTTATGTTAGCAAAAAGCGACTCACTTTAATAGCGTCCAAGTTGACCATTTTTTTGTTTTTTCCAATTGATTGTGAAGCCCAAAATAACTTTCGAGACCACTTGGACTTCTCACAATCTCTTTTACAAAATTCACACTTTTACTTGTTGTTTTCAACCATCTCCGACAATTATTAACAATGTTAGTTTAAAAATAAGAATTTGAAATAAATACAACCAAAGATATAAATTTGAAATTTCGTTAAACCTCACATGGGAATTTGTCGTGCACTCCATCTGAAAATTTGTGATATAAATCGAATAGTAAAGGGGAAGGGGGTAGGGCACACGATGTGGCCTACACATTTTAATGACAACGAGAACGGTCTTCTTTTAAGTTTATGCAATAACTTTTTGGTCACAATTTCCTGGCATTGATTGACACTTTTGTCATAATTTTGATATTATTTCAATACAAATTTAGATCACTTCTTTTATTGCTAAATTATTCAAAATGTACTTCATAATCAATGTTCTATTATTATTGTTATTATACTTTTGCTTTTTCTCATTTTATGTTAATATTGGCCCCATTTATAGTTGGGAAACAATAACACCCAAATCTGTATTACAATAGGATAAAAAAAATTGAATCCTTCTAAAGTTATATTCATAATTTACATTACATTTTATGCTAACTTAACACAGAAAATATTCTTTACAAAAATAGCACTTACAAATATTAAAATCTTTTTTTTCCTTTTTTAATCCCATATTGTAAAATTCATCATAATTGAAGAGATAAACCCATTTAATTAAATTTAATATTAACTTTATTAATATGCCTTAAACATTTCAATGAATTTTAAAACCTATTAAATATTCTTTATTAGGAGGTTTTTCAACTCTTTTTTTTTTTTTTTTAATGAGTGGTTTGATAATCTTGTGCGGTTTTTTATAATTTTAAATATTTTAACATCATTTCAATGTTCCATATTTAACAATCTCTTAAAGAAGCAAGAAATTTAACCCTAGTTAACATCATAGGATTGGTTTGACGGTTAAAGAGGTTTGTTTCCTTCCTTGAGTTATTAGATTCAAACCTTGATTCCACCAACTATAATAACATCGTGACTTATCTAACCTTTTAGACTTGTAAAGTGTTCAATGAATCTCAAAATTAGTTGAAGTACACATAATCTTATCCGAACACCTGGTTATGGAAAAAAAAAAACCCCTAGTGCTCTATTTAGTAATAAAATATTAAAATAATCTTATGAATCCTTAATCCTGTAACTGTCAGAACTGAAAACAATAACAGGCACAGGCTCAAGTGACATTCCACCAAGACTCTTTTATTTCAGGTATTTTGGCTTTATATTCTTCAAATGCTCTTCTTCTGAAACAAAAACATTTTATATTTATTTTAGCAAATCATATATTAATCCCCTTTTGGAGTCTTATAAATGTGGTTGAGTGAGAACTTAAAAGGATAAGTTGGGTTAATATAATACGCGGAGAATTTCTATAATATATAATAGATGTTTACAGTGTATTTGGTTAAGTTATAGAAGAGATTTGTGATTATTTGATAAGATAAATTTTTCAAGTATCATAAATTGTCAACTCTTGTTTATTGTTAGACTTACATTGGATTAATTAAATCTTGATAATATTGAATTCTCTGGTACAAGAGAAAAATAGTAAATAAATTATGAATTAAAATGTTGGACGTTGTCAGAGAATCAGATAAAGAATCCAACATTTTCCTATTTGCTTTCCTGTCTCTTTTGTTGTATTCACTTGGCCGGCTGACAAGCTGAAGTGAAAAGCACCTCAACTTTTTACTCCCGTTTTCTGGCTTTTCCATTTTGTTCACAATGCCGACATTTGCAAAGCCACACACTTATTCACATGCTTCCCAAGTCACTATCATTTGGAAGAAAAATGTATCCTTATAAAAACTTATACAAAGAGGATTACAAAATGACGTCAGTAAGAAGAAAAAAAAAAAAAATAGAATGAGAGAAATCATGAAAATCAAGGATGGAGATTGTCTTTGTATGTCCTCTTTATATTTGTCTTTATAAAACTAGCATTGCTCTATTTGGAATTCAATAATACTATGCATACGCTCTCTCTTACAAAGAGAGAGCGTATACACTGACGTGGTACGCCTCTCTTACAAAGAGAGAGTGTACGCACTAACATGGTACGTGGGTCATGCTTCTTAATCCCCCAAAAAAAAAAAAATTACAACTGTAAAAGCAAAACTCGCGATAATCCTAAACCAAATTCCCTCCCCACTTTCATCTTCATCCTAAATCAAATTCTCTCCAAAATTTGATTTACCTTAACTATCAAAATTTGTAATTCCTCTAATCAAATCTTTAGCTGTGAAAGAATGCCCACGAGTTCCTACTCAGGATTATAAACCTTTGGACATAATAGAACGATGTCCTAATTAATATCGCCTAGAAGGTGAACCCGAAGCTGGTAGGGAAGGCCCTGCCCCTTAGTTAGCTCTTAGTTTTTGTGTTCAATAGGTGGGGGAGGAAAGGAAACGACATATTGATTCCATTTATTCAATTTAGCAACCTAATTTTTCGATTGAAAAAAACGATAGATTGATTATGGAGGAGTCGAACCCCCTTACCTTTGACACTAGCAACCAGCTAACAACCCGCCCTCCACTTCCTCTTTTCACTTACTTCTGGCCTTAGATACTTCAACTTTCAAAGAGATCCCTGGAGGAACCAAAGGAGGAAGCAAGCTAGGTGTTGAACTGATTCGAATCTTGGACTTCGACCAGATCTTGGTTTGTCGAAGTTCTTTGTTGTAAAGGATTTGAAGTTGTTACTAATGTTCGATGTTTCGTCCTCACATCTTTTTAGCAAGTAGTGTTTTCACTCTGGGAACAAAAGTTGCACTACCATTTTACATTCTCATGGTTTTTGCTCCTAAAGCTGAACTAGTATGCTTTCTGTGTTTATCTAGTAACTTTACTTCAATTTTGTACCCTTCTCATAATTTTCTGAAGTTCTAATGTTTCATTCCCAGATCTTTATAGCTAGTAGTGTTTTTACTCTGGGAACAGTAGTTGTGCTGCCATTCTACACTCTTATGGTTTTTGCTCTTAAAGCTGAACTGGTATGTTTTTTGTGTTTACCTAGTAACTTCACTTCAATTTTGTATTCTTCTCCTAACTTTCTATTTCTTTTTGAGTTAATAGTGAATTTGTGATTCATCCGTAACTATGACTTATTTAGAAGTTTCTTACAAAATTTGTGAATTCATAATATTATTTGAGACTACGAGCTATGCTTTACAAGTACATTGCTTTCATTGAAATTACTTGATGATCTGGATAGTTTATAGTGTATATGTTAGTGGGCTTTTGTTTACTGTATAAGGAAATTTCAAAGCGTAGAAAGAAAATAAAAAAGATGTGTTGTATTTGTTAGGGAGTTGTAGAAGAAATCCCTTTTATGTGATTCAATCCAGGCTATTGCATCAATTATGTTGGAGTAGGACCACTTGTTTCAGGACCATTCTTTTTTCCTAAAAGCAAAATTGTATCGGGTTTTACATAGAATTATGTTTTTGACAGAATTTATCTTTTAGTAATATATCATTGAATGTCGATGTGTGCTAATTAGGGAGCAAATGTTTGACAAAATGTACCTTTTATTTAGGGTATTCTATTTACATCAAAATACCAAAGAGGGAAGAGTGCAGTAAAAAA